CTGTGTAACAAATTATGCCCACATTTTGCAGCTTAAAATAATAAACACTGGTTGTCCCGTGCAGTTTCTAAGGGTCAGGAGTCTGGAGGCTGCTCAGCTGGGTGGTTCTGGCTCTGAGTCTCTCAGACGTGGTGGTGTCAGGACAGCCTCCAGGAGCTGGACAGAGTTTAGTTGCACCGGATTGGGAAGTGAACGCCCTGAGGTGCACTGTTTTCTGTGGGATACTTGTCTTCCCAGGTGCTCCTCCCCAAGAGGGTGCTGTGGTCAGTAGGAGGGGGTCATCTCAGGACTCACTGTGCTCTAGACATGTGTATAGGTAAGGCTCTGTGGGAGTCCCGAGGCAAAGAACCCATCCAATTTTGTTAAATTCAGCATTTCTGCAACTTTTTTACTAAGGAACCTCTTTATTTATTTATCCTCACCCAAGGACATTTCCACATTCATCTTCAGATAGAGCGGGAGGGAGAGAGGGAGGAAAAGAGAGAGAGAAACATCAATGTGAGACACATCGACTGGTCGCCACCCACATGACCCCAACCGGGGCTGAGGATAAACAGCAACTGAGGTATGTGCCCTTAGCGGGAACCAAACCCGGGCTTCTCTGGTCTGTGGGCTGATGCTCTAACCACTGAGCAAACTGGCCAGGGCTATTTTTTTTCTTTTCTTTTTTGATTTTAGAAAGAGAAAAAGGAAGAGGGAGAGAGAAAGAGAAATATTGATGAGAGGGAACATCTATTGGCCCCCCACTGGGGATTTGGCCCACAACCAGGTCATGTGTCCTGACCTGGAATTGAACGGGTGACCTCTTGGTGCATGGGTCGATGCTCAACCACTGAATCACACTGGCTGGGCAGGGAACCTCTTGATTTTTAAGACACACCTCTTCATTGCTACCTCAGGTATCTCTTTCTAAAATCTAGACTTGATCTTTCTTTTCTTTCTCTCTCTCTCTCTCTCTCTCTCTCTCTCTTTCTCTCTCTCTCTCTCTCTCCTTCCTTCCTCCCTCCCTCCCTCCCTTCTTCCTTTCTTTCTTTTCCTCACCTGAGAATAGTTTTCCAGATTTTTTTTTAGATAGAGTGGGAGGGAGGGAGAGAGAGAGCAAGAGAGAACATTGATGTGAGAGAGACACATCAATTGGTTGCCTCCCACATGACCCTGACCAGGGCCAAGTATCCAACCCTTGGCTCCTTAGTCCTGGGGCCCACTCTCTAACCATTAAGCCAAACCAGCCAGGGCAGATCATGCTTCTTTATTATTGAGAGCAATAGTGTCCCATGTAGGGGTTTAAGAAGACATTTGAACTTTGGATTTTACCTTTTTGAACTTTACTTTTGTGATGTTTTAAATATAAATAATATATTAGCACAGTAAATGTATGTGTAATTTATTAGTAAATGCATATGTATTGAGATCTCCTCCAGACTCTTGGAACTTCACTCCAGATGGAGATCTAACATTGTATTGCTTTTGAGGACCTGTCTCAAGGATCCCTTCTGCACCGAGGTTCTCTCCATTCACTGCTCATAGCTCACGGCAGCTTCTGGATAAGAAAGATCTACCACAGTCCTTCATCTGTGGTTCTGACACTCCAAAGCCCTGTCTCATCTGTGGTTCTGAAACTCCAAAGCCCTCTCATTAGAAAGTTATTTGATGAGAAACCTGACCTGAGCTTAAGTGAAGCTATTCATGGTTTTTTGTTTTTTGTTTTAATTCTTTTAAATGTGTCTCTCTATGCCCTGGCCAGTTTGGTTCAGCGGTTAGAGCGTCGGCCTGCGGTCCAGAGAGACCCGGGTTCGGTTCCTGCTAAGGGCACGTACCTCGGTTGCAGTTTGTCCCCGGCCCTGGTTGGGTTGTGCGGGTGGCAACCACTCGATGTGTCCCTTTCATGTCGATGTTTCTCTCTCTCTCTCTCTCTCTCCCCCCCTCCCACTCTATCTGAACAAAAAATGGAAAAATGTCCTCGGGTGAGGATTAAAAAAATAAATAAATAAATAAATAAATGTGTCTCTCTATACATTTTGCAGCAGAATATTAAGTGCTTGGTTATAGGGTGCCACTCTAGACCTTACGAGGTATATGTGTGATATTACCTTTATAAAACCTGAATAATTCAGAATTCCAAGACAGGTCTATTTGGCCCCAAGTATTTAGGATAAGGAGCCCATAAAATCATGTACTTGATGGGGATTAATCATTTTAAATGCTTTCATACATATTATATCACCTCTTCCAGCAACAGACCTACCAGGTGAGCAGGTAGCCCTGCTTTACAGAAGAGGTGACTGGGACTCAGGACTCTGACTATCCTGAGGCTGTGGGCCCAGATGTGGGCAGGACCAAACATCAGACCGAGGTCATTGGGCTTCAGATTGTTTCACTGTGCCACCAACCCGGTTGTACAGTGTCAGTGTCATAGACTGTAAGTCCCTTTTTCCCTAAGACTGAGTCTGTGGTTGACAGCGCCCCTAGCATAGTCTTTAAACAAGTCGTTCATGAAAGGTAGAATTAATGCCATAGCAACACTTGAAGGAGTCTAATGTAAAAGAACTCACCAGGGGCTTCGGGGGCCTGGGAATCTTTGTTCTGGCCGCAGATTTGCTATTCACAGTCTTGTTTATCTCGCCCAAGTCACTTCACTTCTCTCTGCTTTGGTTTTCTTATCTGTTAAAATGGGGGAAACCGCCCTGGGAGGTTTGGCCCACAGACCAGAGAGACTCGGGTTCGGTTCCTACTAAAGGCATGTACCTTGGTTGCAGTTTGTCCCCCGTCCCGGTCGGGGTTGTGTGGGTGGCAGCCAGTTGATGTGTGTCTCTCTCTTTCTCTCTCTGCCTCCTACTTTCCCTCATGCTCTATCTGAAGATAAATGCAAAAATGTCCTCGGGAGAGGATAAAAAAATGATAATAAATAAATAAAATGGGGGAAACAATAAAAGTCTGAAAAAGGGAGATTATAACAATCAAAGGGGAAAATACATATGAAGTACACTTAACACATTTACAAATGGTTACTATAAGACAAAAGTACTCCCATTCGATAAATTCAGCAGATAAAAATTGAATTCATAAAAAGAGAAGACAGTAATGCTTTTCCTGCAAAAAGACTCATTGTTCTGTGACAACACACTTTTCACTTTGTCCATCTAACATTTTGCCTGTTTCTGGTAGCATTACCTGATTTTAAATCTTCATGGACAACCTAGAAATTAACATCTTTGTTCTCAAAGATCTTAGGGGGGAGTGATGTTCATTCCTTCGAATCTTCTCCACTTTCTCGTTACTTCTATTACCTGCTGTCTCAGCCCCTCCTCAGACCCAGGTGACTTCTTGAACTTGAGCAGAAATAGGAAAGGAAGGGAGAGGAGCGGTAATGGGAAAGCACCGGAGGGAAGGAAGACAGTTCGGAGGAACAGCAGGGTCTCTCTCTGATGTGTGCAGTACTTTCTAGCTGCTCCCAACTGGTCCGCCGTCCCCTCCTGTTTCACTCCACCTGGGGACCTCCTGGTCGTTCAGGTTTGCTGAGGACAGAGAGCCAATCTGCATTTTAACATACAGGCTAGAAGGAACTTCCGTTGATTTTATTCATTCGTCACTGGCATGGCCCTGGCACTGTATTCAGCTTAGAACAAGGAAAATCACATGTGTCTAAGGACATATTTCTTATTTAATTTTAGTCCCCAGAGTTGGAGATCTGTGGGACCTCAGACCCTGAGAACTGCTTCCAGATTTGTCCTTCATACACCCCCCCCCCCCAGCAATGCTGTTTCCGGGCCCCCTCGCCCTCAGGGAGCTTCCTCCAGACCGGCACAAGACCCTTCCTCTCCTGCAGACTCTTCTCCACTGTCCTGTTTTCTCCTCAGGGCCTCCCTGCCAGTCGGAAAAGAAAAAAAAAAAAAAAAATTTAAAGGGAGAGAGAGCAAGAGAAGGGGGAGGATAAGTGAGTGAGAAAACCCAGGCTGTGACTTACCAAGGATTTTTGTCAAAGATGAAAGTATCAAAATGTACCAGATACAAATGGAAACCGGTGCTTTAAAGTAGGAACATATGTTCTACTTTAGAAAACTACAGAGGATTATTTTTTTCTATTGCATTCTCTCCCTCCTCCTTGTTTTGAGATGGAGGCAACACAAATAAACAGCATCAGATCCATTTCTCACAATTATATGCAGTATATTACTTTGATTAAATTTGAAAAATTCAGAATTCTGAAACAAATCTGGCCCCAAGTAGTTAGGATTACTACCTTCGCTGCTACCATTCATTTCACACTTGAAGATTCTAAACAGCTTCCTAACTGGTTTCCTTCCTTCCACCCTTGCTGGGCTTTTGTCTGTTCTGAATACTGCAGCCAGACCAGTGAAAATCTAAGTCAAATCAATCAACTTCTCTGTTCAAAACCCTTCTGTGGGTCAGAGCCATGGTCCTGTCAAAGATTCACAGAGTCCTCTATAGTCTGTCCCTGCCTTTGTGTTCCCTAAACAAGCCTGGATGAACACTATACTCCTGCCTCAGGGCCTTTGCACTTGCTCTTTCCTTTTTCTGTTATGTTTTTCCTCCGGATAACTAAAGTCTAGCTCCCTCATATAGGTCAGTCTTTAATTCCAATGACACCTTCTCAGTGAGGTTTTTACTGATGACCTTTTCTAAAATTGTCCCCTCCACCAATACTTCCTTACCTTTCTCCTTAGCAGTTAAAAATTACCTTGGAGATAAAGTTGTGTTTTTATGTTTTTTGTTTTTCCTCTTTGGACATCAGGAAAACTTTCTTTGAATATCTCTGACCTCTACTCTGCAATGATTGCCTCAAAGTTCCTTTAAATGTAATGGCATTTATATTTTAAAATAAGTGCTGAAGTATAGATACCATGTTATTACACATGAGCTCATCTTCAAGTTTTATAGATATATTTGTTTCAAAAGTATGTTCTTGTATCTTTGTCCGCTATTCAGTATCCCAGTGTTCAGGAGAGATCCACTTCTAACCGCTTCTCATTCATCAACAGGGTGGGCTAGGCGCCCAAGCGTTTGTTCGCGTAGAACTGGAGGACGTGAATGATAATGAACCCGTGTTTAACCCGTCCACCTATGTGGTGAGCATTAGCGGCCAGACCCAGCCCGGAGCTGAGATCGTCAATGTCCTCGCCACTGACAGGGATTCTGGGATATATGGAACCGTGGCTTATGAGCTCATCCCTAGTGACCTGTCCTCCCTCTTTACCATCGACTCTACCACAGGTACGTGACCTTGGAACAGTTCACCTCTAAAATCAACATCTTCTGTTTAACAACCAGAAAATGAACAAGAGTGATTTTCTTTATTAGCAGGGGTGTTGCAAAACTCGTGTCACCTTCCAGAAGGCAGCACGGTGTATTGCAGTTAGGTTAGACCTGAATCTGCGTCCCAGCTTGCCTCCTACCCGCCTTACAATTTTCTTCGGCCTCAGTCTCCTTACCTTAAAAAGAAAGTAGTGCTAAGAATCCCTATGTTGCAAAGTTTTCATGAGGATGAAAGGCAATACATTAGGAGAAACAACTGGTCAATGCATTTCTTTCTCTGTGCCATCCAGGGGTGACTTGCATCATTTCAATGCACTAATCATATTAGTGCAAAAAACGTTACACCAACATCCCTTTCTAATACCAGCCCTGCCATTCCCCTAATCTCTCTGCTTAGTTTCCTTGTTTTTAAAAAATACCTAAAGCTTTTTTTAGTTCTCTAATATGATCGTTGTGTTTACGATATTTGCGTTTCTGCCAAAGAAGTCCAGTGACAAACAGTTTTGTTTTGTTTTGTTTTTTAGAAATAATCAGTATTTAAGTTGTTACCCTTCCCTCTTTATTGGATTCCTATGAACAAAATAACGTTTGAAATAGTTATTACTAGAAAATATAAAATTTCAAGTATGTTACATTATAATACTTTTGCCATATTAGAGATAGTCTGGTCTAAAAGTGAGCCTGCAAAAAAAAAAAAAAAAAGATTTTTTCCTTTTACATTTCTTCTTTTAAAATTTGAAAAAATATTTTATTTTGTTTTGTAGTGAGAACACAAAACTTGAGATCTGCCCTCTTAACATGTTTAGGTGCACGATGCTTCGTTGTTGGCTGCAGGTCCAGTGCTGCACAGCAGATCTCTAGAACTCATTCAATCTGCTTAACTGAGACTTTGTTTCCACCGTTCAGAGACTTCCCATTTCTCCCTCCCTGTGGTCTCTTGGCAGCTACCATTCTGCTCTTTGATTCTAGGAACCTATTTTAAATACCTCATATAAGTGGGATAATACCTCATTTGCCCTTCTGTTACTTGCTTATTTCACATCACATAACGTCCTCCAGGTTCATCCATGTTGTCACATATAACAGTATTTACTTCTTTTTAAAGGCTAAATAATATTCCATTGTGTATATATACCATATTTTCTTTATTCGTCCATTGACAGGTTAGTAGGTTGTGCCCAGGCTTCAGTGAACATGGGAGTACAGATAATTCTGCGATTACATTTCTCCTTAAAGCACCTGATCTGAGCATGGGCAGAATGAGTGTTTATTGTGATGATGATGATGATGATGATGACGACAGATGCCATGTTAGGCATGCTCTGGTACATTGTCTTTGGATCTTTACCACCCTTTGCAGCAACCATATTCATTAGCAACAAATGGTAATTTACACGAGACATCTGATCTACCAAGCTATTTTGCCTTCTCACCCAGCCCCGGTAGGTAGAGTCACTGCTTCTGGCGTGGAAAGTGTGCCCTATCTGGAGTGTGTGACTGCTGGGGATCAGCTGTTTACAATGGCAGTCTTACTAAGGCTGAACTGTCTTCGCTCAAAATAACCCACCGAGGTGGCCCCTTTGACATTTAAAAGATCAGAAGAACATACTTTTTTAGGAAATTGGTCTGCTTATCTTGGCTTTTTCAAAATTCTTCTAAACTGAGGACCTTAACTGCTTGTCAAAACGCCAGACCCTTTAGGACAATAACATTGCCAAAATTATATAGGTCAGCCAGTAATCATGGCACAGGATCAAAAAGAATTTAGCAGATTGTTTTTAGAAGACATCAACACACTCATCATCTCGTTTCCCCTGGAAGATCTCACAGAAGGAGCCGTACAGTGTCCTGTTTTTAGAAGAGGTCTCTGTTGCTGTGCCGGTTTCAGTCAGCCACAGGCTCCCATTCCTGGCACTGCATATAAGACAAATGTCTTTGTTCATCACGGAGAACACTTTATGTGAGGCATTATCTAGGGAAGGAGCACGGTATTTAAAAAACAAAACAGAGACCAATTTTGTAATGGAAGTGGCTTTGGGTTATTGCTGGCCAGTACCTATATTATTTTCATGACAGGGAATTTAGGTTGAAGACATTTCTCAGTCTAACAGTACTTAGAGTTTAGTTGCACTTAATCACAACTCATGAGAAATTCATGGGGGCTAGTAATGCTTTGCTTGAACCTTCAGAAGAGAATTGAACAGCATCATGACTAGCTATGGGGGAACTATTCCACTTTGAACAGTTGCATTCAAGTTCATCTATTGGTTGACAACCACTCCACATACATATTCTGTATTGCACATAATATGCTTCCAGGCCAGGACATGATCTAACTGTTGATGTTCTCAGAGAATAGAACAAGGAGTAGTTTTGGAATATGAGTTTCCTCTTCTGGATCTGTGCTTTTGTTGTAGCCTACAGAAAGCTGGTCCTTCTTGCTTCCCCTGTGAGGCCTGTCTCTACAGAAGCTGGCAGTGTGAACCCAGTCTCAAGTAATTGTTCATACACACACACACACACACACAGATATTTATGGAATAAAAGAACAAGTAACATTTAAAAATAATTGAAAAGTGATTTAAATCCTTCTTATATTCTTGTAAGAAATACAAGGGAGTATCACTGATAATACAGAGCAAAACCTCATTTAAGATCCTCTCTGCCCATCACAGGTTGAGTAGGTGATTCTGTGACCTCCTTCACATCTCTTCAAAACCAACCCAACTCTTTTATTTTCTCTCTAGTTTGTCTGTGCTGGCTGGCACGTTTCTATATTTATATGCTAAATAAATAAATATAATATATATATTTATATATCATTATATAAATATATAGATTGTAGTTTTTATATAATTGATTATATAGTTGTATAGTTTTATAGTTATGTGGAATGAGGAGAATATTGAGAATTGATGAGCAAAGTTCTACATTGTCACTTCCTCCAAATTATTCTAAAATTCTGTCTTCGAGACATTCATAGACATTCGTGAATTTGCTCTCTGGCCCATTGCCCTTTCATTTCGATGCTTCCTATATCAGGCATGCTATTCTATAAGTTTACACAGTGTGTGTTAGAGGCTCAAATTTTCCTAAAAACAAGAGATTTTTCCATTGCCCTACTTGTGCCACAACCAAGACTCATGCATTAAAAATAGAGCTCTTGACTCACTGTGTTCATCTGGTAAAAACAATGTTTTGGAGAAAACTGGTGGAGGGGTGGGGGGTGGCGATGTCATGGTTGTTTTCTCTTGTGGATTTATCTTCCTGGTCTGTTTCTGGTTTTCTAAGTGTGTTGTTAATTCAAAGAATATTTTTGTAAAATGTGTTTAGGCACCAGGAGAGAGATATTGAATTGAGCCTTCATTTCTCTTATTCTCAGTTAGTTGGGCTCCTTTGATGTGGGCACGAGGCAGACCACAGTGTTTTGAGTTTTAAAAGGAGGAAATACAGAGACATATTTATTAATAGCCCTTTTTTCATGGAGTTTTAATCCCATTTAATGAACTATATATAGATTTTTTTCTACATTGTTTGAAGTATCCCTTTAGTAGCTAGCATTTAAAAAAAGCAGCTCTTTAGCCTTTCTATTTGTGCTATTTATGTGGTAATTTTACACTGAAACAAACATCACTTCTAATTCAGATTATTTTAAGGTGACAGAGATTGCAAGCATTTGTGTTGGTCATTTATTGTTGTTCAACTACTTTTCTTGCTAGGAATTAACCTTTGGTTAAATTCTTGTGGTTTACCTCTTAGAGCAGCCAGTTGATATAAAGAAAAAGTCAACACAAGTTCTAAAAAGAATGTAACTTGTCTATTCCAGGCAGAAAATGGAAGCAACTTCATCCTTTTGATACATTGTTATTCAATGCCTATTTATTTCTGTACCATGTACTGTTATAGGTGTTGGTCATGCATCCATGAATAAAACAGTCAAGAGTTCCTGCTCTCATACATCTTACAGCTTATACCACTGGCCTATCATCTGATCTGTGTTAGTTGGACATATGCAAAATCCAAGTTTAGTACTACTGAAGAACAAATGGGCCTCCATGTTGTATGGGTGTGTGGATTTTAATGTGGACTCTCAGTAATGTGGCACAGACTCTGTTTTTCTTTATTTCAAGGGCAGACTCTTTTCTAATGTTAGTTTTATGCTCAGATTTCATACTATGTAATGATTCTCATAATTCTTCATGATCGCCACTTTCTACGTACAGAACATTCAGATATATATACTTAATAAATTAATACCACATCTCACTTCTTCAGGGATGTGAGCCTGCTCACGCCAAAAAAATTCTTTCTTTTCTTTGCAAGACAGAGACTAAAATTAATCACAACCACCTAATCCGTGTATGTCACTTTTATAGGAAACAAAAGCATGTTGGAGAGTTTTCTCATTCATTTTTCCAATATAAGATCGCAGACTCTTGGACATGAAAGGGACCTTACAATTAAGCTCCCTCATTTAGTGGAGGAAGAAACTGAGGCAAAAAGGGATTTGGTGTCTTGCCTTAAGGTGCATGGTTGGTATATGGCAGACCTGAACTTGAACCTTGTCCTAGACCTGTGATCTGTCCCTGTATTGCTCTGTCTCAGATAATAATACTTTTAAACATCTTTTCCATAATATTGCCTATTTGACCCTTACATAAACTTATAGGATAAGCAAGGCAAATGTTTTTATGCTCATCGCAAATTAGAAAAATGAAGACCCTATGACTCTTAGTGACTTGCTCAATGACATAGTAAGAAACCTGACACTTGAATTTACTTCTTGAACTTCCATTTCAAGGATCTTTCTATTATAATGACTTAAACACACATACACACACACACACACACACACACAAAGCTAAGATAAATTTAGATTTCATTGATTTCAATTAAATGGCATTAAAAAACGATCTCTCATTGTGACTTCCTATATAAGCTTTTTGAAATACCAAATT